GCATTGCTTAGGATAGGAAAAATTGATAGCACCCACATATTCCTTCACTAGAGGTATTAATTGTATTGCAGCCAATCATACACTAATACAGCCATTAGAAAGCATGCTATCAATCTGTATTGGCAAAGGAAGTTGTCTGTGATGTGTTAAGTTGGGGGGAAAACAAAACAGGCTAAGGTAAGAGTTTGTGTTTTGGCTAAAGTGAGATTGCTATTTTTATGGAAAAGTTAATATTCTTGGGAAAAGTCTATAAGGAGATAGTTTTCATTTCTGTGAATGGGACAAAGGGGTGGTTTTTATTTTCTTTATAATTTCCTATAGAGTCTAAATTGTTGTAACCAGAGAAAGATGAAGAAAAAACGGGAGATGGGGAGTACCAGAGGGTGACTAGAACCACTCAGAAATGAACATTTGATATTTAGCGTTGTTTTGCACATCTGTGTCTTGAATTGAGCTCAATCCAGAGCCAAATCTTTGTAGAAGACTAGCTTTTGTCCTCTTTTTTTCAGAGCCAGATACTGAACTTCTGTTCCTCACACCGGTGGGTTTGAGAATTAGGCCCCACAAATGTCAGGAAAGGCAGTATGTCAAGTTCTTACACCTACTTTGCCTTTCTGTGCACTTGTATCTTCTTGTGTCTGTTTTTTATGTGGTATGCCCCATTGGCAATGATGATTTAACCTTTATAAACACTATTAAAAGCTTTGTTAATATGTGCTATTTTGAGTAGTATTGTTACTACAAAATGCTTTTTTTAATGATTTAATTTTACTACTTTTTTTTGTTTACTAATGGTAGTATGTTATCCTGGACCACAGTTGCACCAAACATAGAATTCCCCAAAGGCTTTCAAGGACAACAGGGTTAACCATGGCTATCAGCCTTGAAATGTCCACCCTACATGATTTAGGTCCAGGAGACTTGAGTAATGTATGATATATAGTTGACAATACATACATATAGTGATTTGGGGGATGTTCTTTCCTAATCACTTCATATGGTATAAGTAGGCTAAATATAGAAACTTAAGGTGATAAAGCTTTTGGTTCTTATCCCTTTTGTCTCTTTATTATAATTGGTCCTCTTGGCTACCTCCTCCAGGAAGTATTTTGTGGTTTTGACTTTGATTTTTAAATTGTTTTAAATCTGTTCAACTAGTGCTGTCTTCCTTATATGTTCTATCCTAATGGTGGGCGTCCCTTGAGATGCAATCCTTATTTTAGCTACATTCTCTCATTCTCATGGTTTCAGTTATTTTGAGGACTTTGCTATAAGATAAACACACTGTCTTCAAATGGCTGCTGGACAGTTCTCCTTGGATAGCTTTTTACTAGCTAGAATTCCTCCTATCTAAAAGTAAACCTTGCTTTTTCCCCAAGTGAACCTCCCTCCTCTATACTAAATGGTAGCCTGTCTTCATTTCCCCAGTCATCCTGTCTCAAAATCTTAAGGTTACCTTGGACTCCTAAATGCAGTCATTCCCCAAACCTTCCTCATGTATTTGAAATGTTTCTTTTATCCGTTCAAACTGCTTATCAGCCTGCCTCCTTAGCTTCAGTTTCTCCACTATTCAATATATCCTGTATCCTGTCTCCAGTCAGATCTTACAGAGACTCTGTTTTTATCCTTGGCTCCAGAGCTAGGACTTCTCTGTGGCCCGCATATCAAGTTCAAACTCGTCTGACGTTCAAGGTCTTCTTAATCTGATATATCCTACCCTACCCAACTGTATTGTTCTGTTACTTTCTAAAATATAGTCTGTACTTTTTTTGGGAAGGGTGTCTCACCGTGACCATAATGGTCACCTTTCAGGAGAAGACATCTCAGTCTTGGGAGGTGAGCATGTAGAACTTGAAAAATTATCAAAAAAGAGGATTCTGCTACATCCCATGTCTCAAGGGAGGGTGGTTCTTTCTAGTTAAGAGCCATAGGTATTGTGAGAAAAGCATGAAAACAAACACCATGTGTTAAGGACTCTAATAGATACAAGGTGCTGCAGTACTCTTCCTATTGCCTTAGTTAAGCCCTTTTACTCTTATCCAGATTCTTCTCATAATTCAGCCCCATAATTCAGTCTTTCACTTCTTGAAACCACTATTACTCCTTCTCCCCCTAAGTTATAGAACGAATTATATGGTGCCACATCACCATGAAGATAGGTCTTGAAATTGAAGATTACTCCCAATCTAAACTTGCTATGTTCCTATTCAACCTCATTCATTAATTCATTAAATATAGAGCCACTCCCATGACCTTGGCTCTGGGCTTGGCATTGAACAACATAGACCTGACCCTTGCCTTTCATGTAGCTTGTAGTCTGTTGGAGGAGTCAAACAGATAATAACACAAGTAACTGATTATTTGTGGTAAGTGCTACCAAGGAGAACCACCTATCTTCCACATTCCCATACATATCCTCTGTTCCAGATACTTCGTCTGTGTATCTTTTCACTTCTCCCAAGCATATAACACATTTTTTTTTTTTAATTTTTTTTTTCAACGTTTATTTATTTTTGGGACAGAGAGAGACAGAGCATGAACAGGGGAGGGGCAGAGAGAGAAGGAGACACAGAATTGGAAACAGGCTCCAGGCTCTGAGCCATCAGCCCAGAGCCCGACGCGGGGCTCGAACTCACGGACCGCGAGATCGTGACCTGGCTGAAGTCGGACGCTTAACCGACTGCGCCACCCAGGCGCCCCACCAAGCATATAACACATTTTTAAAAAGATTTTATTTTTAAGTAATTTCTATGCCCAACATGGTGCTTGAACTCACAACCCCGAGATCAATCAGTCGCACGTTCCGCCAACTGAGCCAGCCAGGTGCCCCACATACAACGCATTTTAATTTTTTGTAGTATTTTTCAATGTCTAAATGTAGTAGTTTGCATAATTGAAAGCACCTAAGGAAATGTTCATTGGTTAGCTACTACTCAGTCTAGGCATGGTATATAGTAACTGGGAAGATTGTAGTCCTTCAGAGCTTCCTACATTTGCTAGTGATTTCAACTGGATGAGAGCTTGGTGTCATCTGCTTGTAGCTGAGTCGGCAGTAAACAAATCACTTTCACATACCTGGTGAAATTCATTGGGTTGACCAGATGAGGCTTTTCCAACTAGTGCTTTTTCTGTTTTATAGGATTTTGTTCCTTATATGACTTGTGATGAATTAATTTTCTGTTCTCCCTAACGAAATTACTTGCTGAATGGCAATAATGTTTGCTAACTGTTTTATTTGTATTGTTGATGATTGGTGAATGATCCAGTAGATGGATACCTTACTCTGCTTCTTTTATTTCTCCTTAGATTTTTTACCCAGAAACTACAGATATCTACGATCGAAAAAATATGCCAAGATGTATCTACTGTATTCATGCACTCAGGTAATCAGATTTTCTTGGTAAAATGAACAGTGTATGTAGATACAGAGAACGGATTGCTGAATTGCCGGAGGTGGGGATTAGGGGGTAGGCGAAATGGATGAAGGGGGTCAAAAATTACAAACTTCCAGTTATAAAATAAGTAAGTCCCGAGGATGTGATGTACCACACAGAGATTATAGTTAATAATAGTGTATTGTATATCTGAAAGTTGCTAAGAGAGTAGATCTTAAAAGTTCTCAGTACAAGGAAAAAACGTCAGTAACTGTGGTGGTGGCTATTAGTGGAACTTATTGTGGTGAACATTTCACGGTATATGCATCTATTGAAGCATTGTGTTGTATAACCTGAAACTAGTGTTATATGTCAGTTCTCTCTCAGTAAAAGAAAGCAGTTTAGGAACAACATCTGAATAGAAGATACAGCTTTTTGTCCATGGTGTGATGAAAAAGTTTTGCATCAGCTTCAGAATTTTCAAATAGCATAGGATACAGTTGTCTTAACAAAATGGTGAGAAACAGCTGTGTTTTTCTAGGAAGTACAGAGAAGGGATTTATTCCCATAATAGCAGATTATTTGGCTCTGAAAACATAGGATAGTGTTTCATTATTCATCTACTGTTTCTGTGAGCTGTGCATTTTAGTTGAGATGTAGTTCCTTTCCTTCTCATTAAAATTTCTTTAAAAAATTTCTTGAAAATTGCAAAAAGTATATACATTTCAAAACTTTCATTGTTTACTATTTCGTTGCAGGCCAATAGCTGAATTAAAAAATGCCCTGTGTTAATACTTTAGTAGTATAACTAAATTTTGTCAACATTTTCAAATAATGCCAGCAAATATCAAATGGCTGATTTTTAATTTAGTTTTCTAGGTCCTCACCAAGCCATTTATTCAGTAATTTTTATGTCAAACAAATATGATAAATAGGAACTGAAACTAAGTATATTTTTTTCATAATTTCATAATAAATTTGGAAGATGATTTCATTTCAGGTCCTTGGCTCTTGGAATCAACAGAGTACTGTATTGGAAGGAAGAGGTGGTTTGCGTGGAGAGAGGGGTGCGGTCGGGTGGGAATTGGAGGCAGTAGTGTGGTGAGTCAGAGTGCTACAAATTTACGTGATGGCTATAGGGCTAAAGTAGAAGGTGGAAGAAGTAAGTGGGCCATGAGTATGGGGTTTCTTTGCTTGGGCTGCCCATTTTATTTTATTTTATTTTATTTTATTTTATTTTATTATTTTTAAAATACAGTTTATGTATTTTGAGAAGAGAGAGCAAGTGAGCAGGGAAGGGGCAGAGAGAAACAGAGAGAGAGAATCCCAAGTAGGCTTTGCACTGCCAGTGCAGAGCCCGACATGGGGCTTGAACTCACGAACCACGAGATCGTGACCTGAAATGAAATCAAGAGTCGTGTGCTTAACTGACTGAGCCACCCAGGCGCTCCAGTGGGCTGCCCATTTTATAAAGCATCCTGTATGTGTGCTTAATAAATACTAATGATGTATATAAATACATGTATAATATTGACCCATGGGAAGCCTATTGCCTCCAGTTTGATTGAACATGGGCCAGACCCTTGGTATCTCTGGAATAGTCTGAAAACTACAAAAGAAAGACTATAGCTGAGGACTGGTCGACGTGCCACACGCTCTTGTGCCTTAGGTTATTCTGTTTCCGTTGCCTGACTGCCCTTTACTCCCTGGTATAACCCATGCTCCTCTCCAGCTGCCACTGTGGAATGCCACTGTTCGTTGATACCTTCTTTTCCTTTTTCTCCCTCAGATGGAATTAGCTCCTTCCCATCTTTGTGCTCTTCTAGCATCTGCACATACCTCCTCCTTCAAGTATAGGGCTTTTACACTGTACTCTGGTTATTTGTTCTTGTAGCTGACTTTCAGAGGACTCCTTGGGGACAAGGACTATTTCTGTTATTCTTTATCTTTGTGTCTCTAGTACTTAGATGCCTAGCATATAGTAGGTGGCCAATAAATGCTTGTGGTCACAATCCTACATTATAAAAAATCTTCCTTCCCCCTGTTCTGGCTCAAGGGGATATTTTATACCCAAAAATGAAAAAAGGAAATGGTTCTTTCTTTTTATCAGATGACTCTTCATGTTTATCTCAGTGTATCCAGTCACATTTTAATTGAATTCCCACCTTCTTGGTGATGTTTTGGACTTCCAGTGACTCCAGCTCATTCCTTTGTCTAAACTCCTGTGTTTCTTGGTTTCTAAGTTATGTATTGTTTCTTTCATGTGTTTACTGTCTTTCTCTCTCTTAGGTATTAGCATCTTAGAGACAGAGGTCATGCTTTACATTTCTTCCCCACCCCCCACATAGCATAATATTGGACAAACAAGAACAACATGAGAATTTTTTAAAAATGTTTAGGAATGGGTGGGATCTAGGGGAATGTTCAGATTGCAGTGATTTCAAATGTACGGGTCTGAGCCAAAATCAGATTAACTCTGAGTATTGTGACTGGCTGTGAGTTACGTGAGGTCTGTGTTGATAACCTTGTGAAGGTTGTACCTACAATGGGTATCTGAACTTGGCAGGCAAGAGGCTGAGCTGGCGGAACTCTCTGCGAGTTCTGCAGCCATGGCCTTCTGCAGCGTAACCTGGGTCCTCAGCCCTCAAATTCTCTGAACTAGAGATGAAGAAGTAACTCTGCCTTTCTCATGATGGAGTCAGAATCGGGAAGGAAGGAAGTCTGCTCTTGTTTTTCATTTCTCTTCAGTTTGCAGCCCATGCTTGGGAAGTATACACAGAGCAATGTGTTCTGGTTGGTGATTTACGATATCTTTCCTCCCTAGAGTGTTTTTCCTGAAGTGCCGTCAGCCCTTGCTATATAGGCACTTAACACCTGCCGGGAGCCTCTTCTTTACCATATAGGACAACAGTATCGAGGCAGATTCCTTGCCTCACTGTGAGGGTGAGGCACCATCTCCCTTTTGTATCAGTAGCAACAAAGAAGCATTATCTCCTTGTTTCTTGACTAGCGTTATTCCGGAGATAGTCCCTGTATTTAGTCCTGCTAAATTACTTTTCTGGATTACATTCCACCCTCAGATAAGACCCTAATTCATTATTACTTTGCATAGGTTTGTATACGTCATTTCCATTTCCTCTGGTGTTTTATCTTTCTAAGAACTGATTTGGAGGTTAAATGGGCCCATAGTCCTATATCCTAAATTCAAAAGAGATGTAAAAGCTGAAAGTTACATTTAAGTTTGGTTCAAACAGATTTGTTGGTGAAATCTGATCAGAATTAATTGAGGTTATTTAGAATATGTATCTACTTACTGTGATTATGTGTATGTTTCTCTTCAGAATAGTAGTGTTTTTGTTTAGGGGTGCTGCCTCAAGGCTTGCTGGGGATGTCTTCTAATACTGTATATACTTACATAAGCAAACATTACATGATACTATATATACTATAAAACATTTCTAGTATCAGAGAAATTCTAATCAGAGATCAGGGATCGTGCTGCACTAGATTCTGTTTCCTGTCAACTGCTGTGTTTGTATTTCAGATCTCTGCGATCAGCCTAGTGACTTCCTCCAGGTTACTCTGCAGTCAGCAAAGATAATAGGAATCCCAGTAGGCTAACATAACCTCCTTCCCCCTATTGCTGTACAGTAGAGCTTAAATAGGAAAAAAGAAAAGAAAAATAAACCTGAGCTCAGTACAAACTAAACATTGTAGGTGCCTACCAGTTATTTGTAAAAGTAGGCATGGGAGAATAGGAGCAAAGATTGGAAAAGGGGTGTTTACTGGTAGGACTTTAAAGGTTCAGCTTTTAGGTTGAATATTCTCTGTTCTGTGCAAGAGGACCTGAGTGGTCCTTGTGATTATATTCATAGCTCTACCTTCTCCTTAAAATATTCCTAATCATTGAAATGAGATAAAAGAAAGATGATGCCTATGTCTTAGCTTCTCCTCTACTTTATTTGTAGCAGCTAGCGACATCGTAACTTTAATTTACTGTTGGAAGACCCTAAAAACGAATTCGCTCCTTGAGGCTGTTAAAATGACACTCCTGCAATTTCTTTTTTTTAAATTTAATTTATTTTTGAGAGAGAGAGCACGCGCGTGAGTGAGCAGGGGAGGGGCAAAGAGAGGGAGACACAGAATCCGAAGCAGGCTCCAGGCTCTGAGCTGTCAGCACAGGGCCCGATGTGGGGCTCAAACTCACGAACTACGAGACAGTGACCTGAGCCGAGGTCGGATTCTTAACCGACTGAGCCACCCAGGCGCCCCAGACGTTTGCAATTTCTTAAAGTATGGCAGCCTCTTTCCTCTTTCAAAGTAGAAATAAAAGAGGAAGAAATTCCTCAAGAAACGTATTCTTACTAATTTGGAATGCAGGTGGGACATATGTGGGAGAAACAATACATATAATGGGGACATATTACAGGTGTAGAATGTTATTGGCTAATTTGCTTTGGAAAATTTGTTAAATAGAGTTAAGATCTCCTGAGAGAGGAACTTTGTATAGTTCTATTTTGAGCATTTTACTCTGAAAAAAGGACTTAATCATATACGTATGGTTCATACTTGTATTTATCTTAGAAAATAATTAGCTACTCTGAATGCATAAATTTGAATGTGTTTTCAGAATGCTTGACTTTTTTTTTTTTTTAGATTATACATGTGAGTTTATTATATATAATTTAAATTCTGGTCAGTTCTGTGAATGCAATGTGTATGATCCATATTTGTGTTCAGATAATACTGAGCTTTATAGATTTTTTGCAAAAACTGGAGATTGTTCTATTGTGTTTATGATTTGTTTCTCAGGGTGTTATATTTATTCCCTTATTGCTAGGCTGTCAGTGTCTTGCCCATGTCCATCCCTGTCAAGCACCCTTCTGATTTACTGATTCTGATCTGCTGGGTCCTTAGAATCCACTTAGGCTAACTCAGGCTTATAGACATTTACTTATCCAGCTATCCATCTATGAAATATAAATATTTATTAAGAGGTTCTGGGTAGACATTGGTGAACAACTTACTGTTCCTGCCTTCATGAAATTTGAAGTCTACTAGATTTTTTAAATTTAAACAGTAAATCTATATAATATTTACTGTAAGACTCATAAATTACCTGAATGAAACTTTTCCATCAGTGATATAAATTCAGTTAATTTAATTTATTAAAAAAATTTTTTTTGATGTTTGTTTTTGAGAGAGAGAGAGACAGTGTGAGCAGGAGAGGGGTAGAGAGAGAGGGAGACACAGAATCTGAAGCAGGCTCCAAGCTCTGGACTGTCAGCACAGAGCCCAATACGGGGCTCGAACCCATGAACCGTGAGATCATGACCTGAGCTGAAGTCGGACGGTTAATCGACTGAGCCACCCAGGCGCCCCTGAATTCAGTTTAACTAAGACTTTCTATTTGAATCATTTTCATGGGACTTTTCTCAAATATTTTATTTTACTTAAAGCTTATTGATCACAGGAAGGTAAACAAAAGTGAAGATTCTCCACTTAGATTAATTACATCCACATGTATGTCAACATCTAATTATACACTAGATTTGTACCAGGACTGGGACTTGAACCTGTGTTCTGACTCCCAGTCTGGTGCTTTTTGCATTGCATTATGTGACTTTCTAGGACAGTGTTATGTAAAACTGAAAAAAGGTTCTGAGGTAAAGCATGGTAACTGCAAAGGGGACTATGGTAGCACGCAAGGAGTCTGTGTTCAGAATGTTTCTGTTCTTTATGTTTGCTACCTTTCCCCTTCAGTCTAAGAGCAGCAGCTAGATGCAGTGGGAGGCCTAACTCTTTTCTGCATATCGTGTCTTCTAGTTTGTACCTGTTCAAACTAGGCCTGGCTCCTCAGATTCAAGACCTATATGGAAAGGTTGACTTCACAGGTAAGGAGTTGCAAACTTGGCAGGAAATGCTTGATTTATGTAGAAATAGCCTGGAGAGTCAACAGTACCAATCTTAAAGACATAGGGCTTTAAAAACACTCTGGCAACAGAGATCAAAGAAGGATAAGTAACTTATTTCTCCTGGTGTGCTGAGAAGAATGCTAAAGTTGGAATTTTAAACTCTGTTCTCTCGTTTCTGACGTGAGTATGATTAGTGAGTGTCCATTTTCCTATATGTAAAGTGGGAATAGTATTAATACATAACACAGAAAATACATAATACCGTATTAGCATCTAACATGAAATATCCATGCATGGTGAAAACACTTAGTCTTTTCCTTTGCTTCTCGCAAGTCCCTACTGTGGGCAAAGCAAGGGGTATGCTATGGGGACTGAGATAATGCAGAGGTGACAATTAAGTAATTTAAAAATTTACCTTATTTACCTTATTCTTTGTGTATTTGCTCTAGTAGATGCTTGCTTGAAGAGATGGGGGCCTGGGGAGAAAAAGAACATTGGTCATATTGGTTAGGGGCAATATAGATTCAAATCTTTTGAACTGGTCATTATTTTGTAGGCTTGGGAATTTTAAATTGAATAAAACTTTTATCTATGATATTTTTCCTTCTAGGGAAGTTGTTCACCAGACCTAGGGCAAAGGGCCAAACCTCACATGTTGTTTCCTTTATCATTTGGCTTCCTGCCTTGGAAGGAAAATTGTTTAATAGCAGTAGTGACTTGGTGTGTGAAGACCGAGAAGGCTGGCTGGCCTGTGGGTCACTTGTTGTTGAGCTCCTTTTAAAGCTGCTCCATTCATAAGTTCGTTGTAGAAATGCCACAAGTAGCAGTTTTGAGAAACTATTTTCTGTAGGGCTGTTCTCACGTTCTAGTTATTTTTGATGTTCTTGATAATAATAATAACGGTTAGTATCTACTCAATGTACGTTATGTGCCGGATGCTCTGTTAAGTGCTTTCCATAATTATCTCATTAAGTCATCGTATCAACCCTACGAGGTAGCTACCACTTTATCCCATTTTGTAGTTGGGGCTGCGGCTTCCTTCTCTGAGTTATGGAAAGGTGCTTAACTTGCTCACCTGGGTCTTTATCCCTTCCTGCAGAAGAGGAAATCAACAACATGAAGATTGAACTGGAGAAGTACGGGATCCAGATGCCCGCCTTCAGCAAGATTGGGGGCATCCTGGCTAACGAACTCTCAGTGGATGAAGCTGCATGTAAGAGAGAAATTTTGTGGGTTCAAATGGGATTGTTGCTACCACTTTCAGTAATGAATACTATAGTGATGGTCTTGGAATTAGGAATTTTGCTAGCAAGTCAGTAGATGTAGCTTTTTTTTTTTTTTTAAGTTTGAGAGAGAGAGAGAGAGAGAGAGAGAGCGCGCGCGCGCACGAGTGGGGGAGGGGCAGCAAGCCAGAAAGGAAGAGAGAATCCCACTGTCTGTGGGTCTTAAACCCATGAACCATGAGATCATGACCTGAGCCGATGTCGGATGCTTAATCGACTGGGCCACTCAGGCATCCCAGTAGATGTAGTTTTAACACTGCTGCCATCTTCTGTGCTGTTATTTGGGAATAAGTGCTTGGTTCTGATGAAAATGAAAGCATTTAGAAATTGAGTTCTACATTTCAGCCCCTTTGAGTGTCTTATTTTTTTTAATGGTATTTACATGATGATTAAGGGTGAACATTTCCATAACGTACACTCCTTGCAAGGCTCTTTTATGAATATTTCCCTGTGGGATTCCAAACTCAGCCTCCCAGACATGGATCACAGGCAGAGCTGTGACTTTGTGCATCCGAAGGAAGAGACGAGGCTTACGGGATTCAGGGCGCCATTCCTTCAGCCCCAGTCATTGTTTCTCTATCATGACAAGCCTTTCTCTGCAATAGGGGGTTGTAATGTTGTTTTGTATGTGTCGTGTACGTCCCTTGCTGTATATAACTTCTGTGTTCTAGGTTTTGAATTTTTTTTTTTTTTTTTTTTTTTTTTAGTGCATGCTGCTGTTATTGCTATTAATGAAGCTATTGACCATAGAATTCCAGCTGACACATTTGCAGCTCTGAGAAACCCCAACGCCATGCTTGTAAATCTTGAAGATCCCTTGGCTTCCACTTACCAGGATGTGCTTTATCAGGCCAAACAGGAGAAAATGACAAATGCTAAAAACAGGGTAAAAATGGAACGTCTGTTCTTTGTAGTTGATCGATATTCTTTCATTGTTCACTATAACTCCATTTTTAAAATCAGTTTTCTTAAAGTATGATTTACATACAATAAGATTCGCTCATTTTACATGTATGGTTTGACGAGTTTTGACAAATGTATAGTTACAAAACCATCATCCCCAAAGTCCCCAGGTCCCTCTTCATAGTCCGCCTCCACTACTCCTTACCCCTTGCCCTTGACCCCAAGCAGCCTCCAATCTGAACAGATCACTGTATTTGCCTTTTTTAGAATTACATATAAATGATAATAGATTCACACAGTATGCAGTCTTTTGGTATCAGTTTCCATTTTGACTTTTAATCTTGAATTTTGTACAAACTGACGAGAAGTTCTGACATCTGGTCTTAGGGTGTGCTGTTCTGCTCGGGTCTGAGGCAAGGATGCAGGCTCACAAGTGGGCAGGACGGGCTTCACCCGTGCTTCCTGCTCAGGCTCGTGTTCTCCAACTCTGGGAGAACCTTCGGGCTTGTCATTAACAAGCAGATCTGCTTTTTACGTTTTTAGTTGATATTTGTGTAGCGTCCCACAACTTAATGAAGTTGTGCTTCATTAAGGATTGCAAGCCACACCCTTACTCTTTGTTGTCTTTTGGTGGGGAAGAAGTGCAAGTATGTTGCTGTGGGTCTTCTTAGAGACCTGAACTGATCTGTGACTTTTTTACTCATCTTCAGACAGAAAACTCTGAGAGAGAAAGGGATGTTTATGAGGAGCTGCTCACTCAAGCTGAAATTCAAGGCAATATCAACAAAGTCAATAGTAAGTATGTCCCTGACTCAGGTACCTGGAGAGACGTTACAGAACAATAGGAGTGTTGATCTGTTCTTGTACCGATGACATGGTTTGAGTTTATTTATCAGTGGATTTGTTTAGGAACTATTGCTTATTACTGTTTTTTTGTGTTTGTATGTCTTCTGTTTTAGCTACTGTTGTCCTCAGGTGGGCCCTCGCTATTCTGTTTGCTCATCTGTCTGCTGTAGCTTCTGGACTTGCCTTGTTGGCTAATTTCACTCTCTCACCCTGTGTTAATACACTTTTTAAAAAATCGAAATAGTGACTTTTCCTATTTTTAAAGTAATATTTTTATTTTTTTTTCAGAGAGTAATACAGGCTATCCAGAAGTAAACAAAAAATACACAGAAAATTAACCCCTCATCCCCTAGAAATAACCACTTTTGGCATTTTTTATGAATATCCTTTTCAAAACATTGTTAAACAAAAATGAGATTAAAAAATGGTTTTTGTATATATGCGTTACATTCTTTTGAGAAACTAATTTCTTGAAAGTGTCACTTTCACTTTATCACTCTTCTGCTAAAGAACCTGCATTATTATTTGCTGGACAAAATGTAGACCCCCTACTCTAGTGGAGTTCTGTATTTTGTATTTTATGCATACTACTCTGTACAAACTCATCTGCTAATTGTCTCCCATATTCACTCCGTGCATTTCATGACTCATGAAGGAGTCCTGTTCTGGAATGGCTCAGACCTGGGACTTGGTCTCTTGGCCTCTTATTTAAATTTTTTTAACGTTTATTTATTTTTGAGAGACAGAGCACGAGCAGGGGAGGGGCAGAGAGAGACGGACAGACACACACACACACACAATCTGAAGCAGACTCCAGGAGAGAGAGAAAGAGAGAGAGAGAGAGAGACATGCGCGCGCGCACGCGCGCACGCACACACGCGCGCACACACACACACACACACACACACACACAAAATCTGAAGCAGACTCCAGGCTCTGAGCTGTCAGCACAGAGCCTGATGAGGGGCTCGAACTCAAAAACTGAGATCGTGATCTGAGCCAAAGTTGGACACTTAACCGACTGAGCCACCCAGGTGCCCCTCCTGGCCTCATTAATAGCACCTGTGGCATAAGTCGTTATGCAGATGATGAGATAATGCGTGTTAAATTACATGGCATTTAGTAAGTCCTCAGTAAACATTAACATTATTATAGCTTTTGCTAATGGGGTAGTCTCCTCACTATAATGGCCTCATACCTTATCTCTTAATCTGATTCAAATTATACCCATCATTCAGGGTCCAGCTCGATTCTCACCTGCACCCATTCCATCTCTCCCACAGCATTTATAGACCACACGATTTTATACTCAATTACATATTGTCTTATATTGCTTGCCTTTGTTTCTGACATCTCCGTAAATTCCTTAAAGTACAGATTACTTATGAGTTATGCTTCTTTTGAGATCCCTGTAATTCCTAGCATAATGGTTACATTTGATTTCAACCAGACTTGACCTTGTTTTGCTAAAGATAATAATAGTAATAGTAATTCATGTCCTCTTTGTTCATTGGGAGGCCCTAATTTCTCTCTTGAACCAATACTCTGAATAACTAGAGAGACTTTATTTATTTATTTATTTATTTATTTATTTATTAATAATTTGAGAGAGAGAGCACGAGCTGGGGAGGGGAAGAGAGAGAGACAGAGAGAGAGAATCCCAAGCAGGCTCCGTGCTGTCAATGCAGAGCCCTATGCAGGGCTTGAACTCACGGACTGTGAGATTGTGACCTGAGCCATAATCAGGAGTTGGTTGCTTAACTGACTGAGCCACCCAGGCGCCCCTGTATTGTTTAGGATTTTATAACTGTGGTAGCTTGACTTGGCAAAGTGTATGAGAGTCTGTTATAAACCTGTGAGGGAAGAGCCATAGTATATGTTTTTAAAGTGTTCCATTCATATTCTCATGTGGTCAGAGGAGCAAAATAATACAAATTCCTTCAAATAGCTTTCAATGTGGTACGGATGATAAATGTGCAAATGAGTAATTTCAGGGCAACTTGCTTAGAACAAAATATCAAAGCTTGTATGAGGTGCATCATAAAATAAAGAAGGGAATGATGACTTCTCGTTGGAGGTTTGTATGGAAAACTTCTCTGGATAAATAAGGCAGGATTCCTCATAGAGGCACAATCTTTTCTAATCATAGAACCAGTCTGAAGCAAGAGAAAGTTGTATGCTAGGAAGATACAGGAACTTTAGGTCCAGAATTATCTTAACATAATTTATAGATAAGATTCTTCCCCTAAGGCTGTGAGAACCAGCAGTGAAGTCAGTGCCCCAGGAGAAAGCTGCAGGCCAAATACTTAAAAATGAGAAAAAGTTTTTGAATAAGGAAAAGTGATTAAAGCTTAGTGGAAGAAAATATTTAAATAATGTTCTAAACTTTATCATCTTTATAGTATAAATGTTAGTAAATGTTTATTTAAATATTTACGTATTTATGTAGTAAGTTTATGCTTCCAGTAAAAGCATAAGTGACTAGATGCATTTGTAGATAGGTAATCTGAGATTCTACTTTGCAGACCTAGAGAAAGCCTGGTAGTTACCTGATTTTGTTTATTTTCTGTCCCCATTCCTGTAAAAGTTCCACAAAGTTAGAGATAACTTGTTTTGTTCAAAACCGTATTTGCAGCATAGAGCAGGTGCTCAGTAAGGGTTGAAGGAATGGATGGTTAATTGGCTAATGGTCACATAGACCTGTAGCCATGACTGAAAGAGCCATCACCTTGGTGTGGTAATGAATTACTGAATTGCAGGTGTATTCATTGGGAAGAAGTGGATAGTCTCTTAGGAGTCTACAGTGAGACCACAAATCCATTGAAATTTAAAATCTTTTTCTTTTTGACACCTTATATTAATTTTTTATAATGAAAACATTAAAAATTTATAAGTGCTGCTATGTCCCAAATATTTTGATTTTTAGTATGTTATTATTGATTTGTTTTGCTACTTCGGTGATAAAATCAGTTCAACTGCATGGAGGGAGAATTCTTTTTTAAAAATAAGGAAACTGAAAATCGTACAGTAATTATCATTTTCCAGTGGTTATTATTTCTGAAATCAGAAAGTACTGTATTCTGACTTCCAACCTAATACCTTATTTATTTTACAATATGCAGAGTGCTTTTGTGTACATTGATTTTATTTAATCTGAACAATAACACTATGGGGAAGGTGTCTTTATTATTTTCAGGTAAAGGACCATCTAGGTTTTCACTGCCAGATGTAAAAGACCTTATGTGACCTCAGGTTCTATGACTGGAAGTAGAGAATATCGAGAGGGTGTAGACAGCCCCTTCCATTCCACATGGTCAGACCACCTTTGCAATCTGGGCTCTGACTCCTGGGTGGAGCGTGTTTAGGAGATGGGGGATAATGAAGGGATTCGGACTGATGCTATAAAGAGGAACTAAGGCTGTTTCTCCTGGGGTAGACTGTCATGGGGAAAGAGGGACTGGATGTATTCAAGTGTCAACACTAGGGTGAAAACTTTAATAGTTTTTGTTTTGTTTTGTTTTTTAAAACAAAATTGCCCAAAGATGTAGTAAGTTGCCATGGGAAAAACTTTCTCCTGTGTGGTAGTTTAGGCAACAATTTGGCATTTAGAGGGAATTTAGACACGAATTGGTTTGTACTGATGCCTCTTTTAGTGCTACCCATAGTGGTGCCAGGGTGTCTACATCTGGAAGCTTTTAAGTAGGCCTAAGGCGTGGTCCAGGAATCTGTTAACTCTGATGAACAGCCCGGCTGGGGCCCCTGGACTTGATGCCTTTAAGGTTCTCTTCCAATGCCAAGATCCTGTGCTTCTGTGATATTCCAGAATAAAGGCCATCTGAACTATATTTCCCTCATCTGAAATTGAGATTGGTTTGGGGGAGGGAAAAATACTCTAGACCGACGTTTACAAAGTGTTTTCTTAAGCTTTGGTCTTTTTTCTTCCTCAGCTTCTTCTGCACTAGCAAATGTCGATCTGGCCTTGGAGCAGGGCACTGCACTGGCCTTGTTCAAGGCTCTGCAGTCCCCCGCGCTGGGCCTTCGAGGGCTGCAGCAGCAGAACGGTGACTGGTACCTCAAGCAGCTCCTGGGTGATAGACAGCAGAAGAGACAGGTAAAAGTGTCCTGGGTTGAACCCGCAAGCTTTCACATGTAGCCATTCGAATCCTGTATTCG